AATGACCGCACAGTGTTTGATGCAATGCGTGAAGTATTCGTGCAGTCTTGTAGGCACCAATATGTGTTACATGCCGATCGCCGCGCCGAGGGCTTCTCCTTTTCATCTCAAGTCCTCGTCATCATTTCGCTCTAGGTAAATCGCGCCGTTCCAGGCCAAATTGCGTGTTTGGTTTCTCTCTTAACTCAACTAATTAAAGGTACTGTCTCTTGTATCACTGAAACACGACAAAAGTAGAAATTACTATACTCTCAGAAAATTAGAGATTTTCTCGCCTTTTCTCGTTTGTACTTTTTTTCCTGATTTCTCCTGATTTCCTCCCCCTTTCGCATCCTGATCTTTGTGTCAGAAGAACAGCGATTCTTTCGTGCCGAGGAACAACGCCGTATGAACATTGAAGAGTTGCAAAATTTTCCTGAATAACATACGTGTTTTTCAAGAAAATGGTGTCTATCTTACCTTGAAATTTTCAGATAATTTAGATTGAATTGGGAAAAAAATTTTCTGACAATTTAAAAGAAAAATATTCCCAAAATTACCAGTAGATTTGCTTTTTATCGAAGAAAATATGGCTACGCCTGAAGGGTCATACGACGTTTTCCCTTACCTCGGCAGGATTGGACGGACGAAGCCCTGCACTGCCGTGCTAATGAAGAACGCCGTATGAACCCTCGAGAGTTGCCAAATTTCTCCGGATAAAACCAGTATTTTAGAAGGAAATTATACATATTTTTCTTTGAAATTTTCAGATATTTTAGTCTAAATTGCAAACAATATTATCTGAGTATTTTGATGAGAAATATTTACGATTTTCTCAGTGAATTCAATGTTTCTTAAAGGAAATATGGCAACACTTTAATGCTCATACGGCGTTTTTCCTAAGGACGGCAACACACGGTTGTTTTCAATAGATCGTATTCGATACATCAAACGGGTGAGATTGTATCGATATCGATTGGTTTAAAACATAAACATAGGCTCAAAAGTAAATTCAGAAATCTGAGAGAACGGATCTTTTGAAACAGATTTTTTATTCTTTTGAGTACCAAATGCCAATGCAAAGTGAAATTGTCAGGAAATTTCTCATTTTCAGCTTTTCCAATTAAAATCCTTACAGTTTGGTTTGAGGTTATGTTCTATTGTTTTGAACCAAACGATACATCGAACCGTTATCGAATACGGTCTATGGCAGCCGACGATGCCAGGGCCGCTACAATGTTACTACGGACTATGGAGGGCGCGGGTCGATGCCGTGGCGCGGTGCATGAGTTGAGCTGTCAGTTTCGTCCGGTCTCCGGTGCGGACCCTGCTGCGACTCCACTCATCCGCCATCCACTCGCCAAAGAAAAGAATGAAAATCAAATCGTGATGGGCGTCTGATAAATGATTGGAGCCGGCCTCTCCGAGCTCCGCAGTCCACACATCCGCGCATCCACGCCACGTTTATTCCACCCGAGCGAAATGCATCGCCGCGGCAAGTGAGCTTTCGCACGCGATGTCTTCCTTCAAATTTCAAAGTTCTAATAAGTCAATTTCACATGGCACACACGGAAAAAAATAGCAAGAGGCTGTTGGATGATTTGGACATTTCCAATTAATTGTGGTAATACCCCTATTAATTACGGTAGTGCCCCGATTAATTAGGTAACTAACCCAAATGTTGCGGTACTACCCTAACTTGAGTTGCGGTTCTAATACAATTCATTAGAAACGTCCATATCATCCAACGAATTGGGGTAGTACCACAATTTTAGGGGATAACCCCTGACATTTTTTTTCCGTGCAGAATCGCGGGGAAAGGGGAAAATCAAGAAATCGGTACAACTGAGCCCTGATACATGTTATATCTTATTTTTTGTGGAAAATCTGTACAAGCTGATTATTGAAATTGATAGACTGATTGATTGATGAAAGGAAAATGGAGCGACCCTATTGAACCAGCCTTCTAAAGCCGCGCTAAAATTTGAAATTTGCCCTATAATTTTGCTGCTTGGTCAACTTTTTCCTCAAAAGCTTATCAAGAATTTGCTAAATTTACTTTTAAGAACTCTTTGGACCGGTAGCTCTGAGGTCAATAGAAATCATATAATTCCATTTTTTCAGAATGAAGCGGCAACATTGAAGAGACGCCGGCGGTACCGTGGCGCTTCGCGGACTGCCCACGTGCCGCCACGCGCGAACGATAAGGATGCTCAGCAAGTGAACGAGCATGACTCAATTTTCCACCTATTATGCACCCTAGACGGTCCTTACATTGTGTTGCACTCATAATTGATTTTTTATCGATGCACTGATCCTCAATTTTCCAAATCAACTGTTAATTCAATTTAAGCTATTCAATTTGCATCTGTTCAACAATTCGACTGGATCATTTCACCAGTATCTCATCTTTCAGGGGTTTTTATTTTATCCATACGCGGAGAACGCCCTTATCATTGGAATGCGTTTAGCAGAAAGGAACCAAGCCACATCAGCTATTGCCAATTTTAAGAGGGCAATTCAATTCATTACGAGAGAACGTTTGTGCAGATCCCTTTGAAAATGATAAGGAATTTGCTTCGAACTATGCAAAAAACTCACTGAAATTAGCACAAAAATTCGCACAACCGTTTTCATGCAAGAAATTAAAGCGCCAAGTAACATTTGGGAATAGCTGATGTAGTTTGGTCCCTTTCTGTTTAACGCGGTCCCATTGAGAAAATTTCCAGTAAATAAAGGTGGACATTCTTAAATTCTTTCCTCAGGCACCAAAGATATACTTCTTGTATCGGTTAATGCTTCAAGTAGACGAAGGATTTGATATATTTTTTTACCCTCAATGACATAATGTCACTTACTCGTAAACGCAATTTTTGGTTTTTTGAAAATTGAATTACTTCTAGTGGCATGATTTTCTAAAGCTGTATTAGTGTTTTTGCCCCAAAAAGATCACTAAACTTTTGAAATTTTCAGTACAAAACTGCGGAATCGAGGTTTTCATGAGAGCTACAACATAGGTTTTTGTCCCTTCAAAATCCAAGATACGAAATTAATTAATGTCATAAGGGGTAAAAAAATTGAACGACTTTAAAAGTCATTTTAAATCTGAATAAAATATCTGCTATATGAATCTGAGACATTTTGCAATACAAATTTATTATTGAGCGTCTCAGCCTGCAATTTCTCATTTATACATGATTGAAAAAGCCGGGAATCTGAACTCTGTGAAAATATGATTAAATACATCTTTGGCCCTCTGTAAATGCTGTATCATATCCACTTATTCTGAATTATTGTAGTCTTATACTACTTGCCTCAAGGAAATTCTAAATTATGAGAAATGATCATTTTGTATCCACTGAGGCATGTCTTTGAAACTCTTCAGACTAGTGAGAGATCAAATCCGGGTATGAAAATTTTACCCGCATCGTGATACGTAGCAAACAAAAATAACCAGCCCACACGTGTCTGGTCAGTTGAAGGACGGAATAACTTTTTCAAGTCGTTCCGCCTTTGGCTAGAATGTTTTAAAGATGATCCGAAATATATATTTTACCGATTGTAATAAAAGTAAGATTTAAACTGGACACATTGACATAAGTCAGATAATAATTATGTTTTTTTTCATGGAATAAGGGACCTCAGTTTCACCTCCTGAGGGAATTACAGCCTATTTTTAAGGAGAGCAATTTTTCAACAGGCGCTGGATTGAAAAATGTGAATTTGATTTTTATATGTATTTTCCTATAAATTTTCATCTTTTAGACGTGAAGCGACTGAATAATAATAAAAGTAACCACGAATTAATTTTTCCTAAAATAAATATTGTTGCACATAGTAACGTAAAAATTATGAAAGTAAATTAAATAAGCCTAGCCTTACCTTGCATACTAAACATACGCATATTGACTGCTTTACTAACTTTTTTCAACATATTTAGTATACAAGGTTAGGCTAAGCCAATTTGATTTATTTTCATTTTTCCTGAGGTATAAATTGTTTGTCCCTTCAAAATTCAGCGCATTAAACGAAACAAAAAAAAACAAAAAAGGCAATGGTGAGGTTTGAATCTAGACCTATCAGTACTCAGAAATATGCAGAGGTTAAAAGTTGTTTAAAGTTTTTGGCTTATTGAAAACTGACAGATCACTCATAAATAGTCTGGCATAAACACTAAGAACCCTTCTTTCAGGCCAAGTTGAATTGAAAAGGAAGGAATGGTTTTCAGTGTAACTGATTAGACAACGGCAATAATTATACTTAAAATAAGTGGCAATAAAGTACGAGTCTAGTCACTTCTTTACTCGGACGGCGTACAAATAAATCATAAAAAGTTGTGAATGAAGTGGACCGTGGGCCCGCCTAATTAATTCTCAGATGAAAGAGAGGGAACATGCATCTCCTGACCTTGACATACACACACATATACACCACGCCGACCGGACATGCTCTTCGTTTGTTTCGAGAGCGTGTGAGTGTGCTATAGTAGCGGGCGCGATTTTTTACACACTTCAGTGAGTAGCGTCGTAGCCATATCGTGGGAAAAATTGGAAGCGGATTCAATAGATCGTCTTCGATAGAGTTCGATGTATTGTTTGGTTAAAATCAATAGAACATAACCTTCAACAATAATTTTAGGATTTCAGTCGCAAAAGCTGAAAATGAGCAACTTCAAAACAATTTAACTTTTCATCACTATTTTTTATTCAAAAAAATAAAAAAATCCATCATAAAAAACCCGTTCCCTCAGATTACTCAATTGACTTCTGACGCTATGTTTTCATGCTGAGCCACTCGATTATCGATGCAACCTCACCTCCTTGATATATCAAATACTATCTGTATACCATGGTTGAACCACGAAATATTTGTGTTAAACTTTACATACCGTTAAATATGAGGCTGGTTCAATTCCTTTCCCGATGGTTTGATACAACGATAATGTAGCTAGAAAAATAGGTTTTATTGAGTGTAGTGTTTTGCATTGTTCGTTCTTATTTGAAGAAAAATAAAATGCTGCATAACATCCCAACATGTGTTTATAGCAAAATCTCACATGAAAGTTAAGTGTTCAGTAAAACCTGTCAATTTTTATGCATTGCAATTGATAGTAGGAGAATTTCTGACGCTGGAACACACATTTTTCCAATTTTACGCTGTATGTTTTGACTCAAGAATTGAAACAAAATGCACCATCTTAACTGCAATTCCGCAAGAGTTCCATGGAAGTTTAGTTCGGTTTGGGTTGGCATCTAAACTAACCGAAAAGCAAGGCGAAGAGTATCGCTTGAAAATGAAGGCGCTCCAAATTTCCTCAGAACCATACATTTCTTTCAATGAGAAATCTCTTTTTATTGACATTAAATATATAGACAGCTGAATCAAAGACAAGCGTAATCTCATGGATCACAAGCAAGCTGTTTTTTTTTGCTGTAAAACAAAATATGACAGATTATTTTGCAACGCTGCGGACTGAGATAAACATATTCATAGGTTCAGGTTCACTATCTTTACGTAGTAAACGGAGAAAACTTGAGTATTCGCAAATCTATATAAAAATACGAACGTAATGGTATTAAGATTTCTGTTTCGCCTATGCCCAAGGTTTCATTGATGGTTGGATGAGAATATTTTAGCCGGTAGAAGCCATATCTGCGGCTCTTTTATCGAAATTCGATCGAAAACTTGTCAAATGACTTTGATCAATGTATAAATTTGCAAGATAAGATTTAAGAATCAAGGTTAAAAACTGATTTATATAGCGGCGACGATTTTCAATATAATATTACTGTTCGATGGCTCCGATGTAAACAAAGATATTACCTTGCGTTGTATTAGAAGCGATCGCATAGACAAAATTCTGCGTGTTTGATGACTTATGAGATAATGATTGATTTATTAATGATAAATTCATAATTAATCAATACTATTAATACACAGCATGAACTTTGGAGATAGAGTTATTGCCAAATTCATAAGGGGAAGATAACTTGAGCAACTTGAATAAATTAGGTGCACTTATTTAGATTAGAGAAATTCAATTTTGTGTAATTAGGACTGCTGAACAACAACTTCCATTCACCAGCGCGTTAGCGAGGCGCGTTCTTGATTACGTTGGAGTTATTGAAAATTGACGTCACCAAATCGATTGATTAAAAAGAGAGTATTAACGGTTCAATAATCAACGATGTGTCAATGATTACTCTGCGAGAATATCGAAATCTAGGGAACTTGATTGCATTTTAGTGTTTTATTTACCATTTTTAAGACCAAATCTTATTTGGACTGCATTTTGCAATTTGGAACTATAAGTTCTGGTCCGGTTTAAAACAACGTATGTGCCATTAGTTTTCCTACGCAAATAAGTGTTTTTTCAGATGAGCCAGAATTTATAGTTCCAAATTGCAAAATGCAGTCCATTTATGGCTCAATTTTATTGCAGCCGACATGTATTTTCAAACTGTTTTTCATAAATACGAGTGATAAAGGAGCACTCAAGTATGGAACGGAGAAATAAACCGTTTCAAGGTCTTCAGAGTCAAATTCAGCAATTATTCAAGTCCCTGCATTACACACTAGCGTCTTTCATAGTGAATTACTCGTTTCAACGCCATCGATAAACGATACGGGCCATGAAACAAATTGTAGGTTCGATCTATTGTTGCTTTTGAAAGTTGTTCACACCTGATCACTCTCAAATTTTCTGTCATGAAAAGTTTCCTTGGCACCTCCTTCCTTTGTTTTCCAATTGAAACTAAGTCCAATAATGATTGTTCGAATTTCAACTCACAATAACTATGCTGCCGATCTAAGATAGAACGCCGTATGAACATTCATAGATTGCCACATTACTCGGGAAAAAAAAATTACTTTTGAGGAAATTTACGAGCGCATCTTCCCTTGAAACTCCCAGACGAATTAGATTAAATTCTGACTAAAATCTCCTAAAAAAAATCGGAAGAATAATATTAACAAATGTATCTGATACTTCGTATTTTATCAGGGGAAGTTTGGCAGCGTCTGAAGGCTCATACGGCGTTCTTTCTCAGCACGGCAGTATGAACTTTCGGAGGAAATAAGCGCCGATTATGTGCCGAATACAATAGGGATAATCTCTGGCACTAACGAGGCTCAGTCACGCCGAGCAATTTGCTTGTCGATCGATTAGTGATAACTGATCCAGTTAAGAATCGCCGCTCCTCGTAAATATAAATAATAACCTACGGGTGGTGGGGCTCCCCGAGGAGGGTGGGGGGGTCGAGTTGAAGAGTGCAGAGATCAGAGCAGCAGCGGCGTAATGAATTGTTGAATTAATTTGTCAAAAGAGAGAGGAGTTGTCCTCCAAGCTTGGAGTCGGATAGAGTCTATAGTCGACCAGCGTTGCCCCTATTATTGTCACTTGATATTATCCGCAATCATGTTATAGATATTATGCTTGATTGTAATTATAGACATTGATGCTGAAAATAAACAAATTGTAGCTTAGTTTTGTGTACCAAAACTTTTCCCCTTATTTTCAATTTTTCGGGCGACGAACAGATTTCCTCGGAAGAGGAGCGTTAAGAGCTACCCCCTAAAATTGTGGTGCTACCCAGGTGCCCAAATTTTTTGTTGGATGATAATGGACATCTGCAATTAATTGTGGTAGTACAGGAACATTTAAGCCGGTAATCTAATTTACTGAGGTATTGCCACGATTAATTGAAAATATCAATAACATCAAACAACTCCTCTCTCTTCTTTTCCGTGTACATTGCTTCAAATTTTTATTGAATGTTCCTTACTCAAAGCCAAAAAAAGAAAAAAAAAAATTACAGAGGCAAAAATTGACTTTGAGTCGTTTTCCATCGAGGGAGAATACATCATTGCAGAAAATTTATTCGAGTCAATGTCCTTTTGACTATTCAGGTAATAGGACCAGTTAACAACTTTCGAAGTTTCAGATTTTATTTATATAGATTTGAGCCATTCTTTATAGAAACAACGTACGTATAAGCTTTGCAGTGCTTTTTAAACTGTCCAACGCAAAACATTGTTCTCAATAGAATGATTTGAATCATCCTTAAGACTTCCGTACTTTTACCCATTTTTCTACAAGAGCAATTAAGGTTCTTGTTTTTTTGGCTTCGTAAAAACGATGTATGTAAAAAGGTACACATTCTGAGCAGAAGTGCTAATTTCTCACGTCGTTTCGAAAAAAATGACTCATTTAGTTTTCATTCATTCAAGGTTACTTCTGATTGATGGAAACTCGGTAAGTTTGAAAAAATCATGCCTCTGAAACAGAATCCCTTTTCTACTTGAACACGGCCGCTTATTAGTAAACGTTAGGAGTAAAAGAGGTGGTGACTCTGAAAAAAACTGCACTCTTCATGAAGCTCAAAAAACGTCTCAAGTTCGATCCATAATGTAAGATTCAAAAGAATCGATGAAATTCGAGCTGAAAAAATCTTCTGGGTGATTGATCTGTAGCCTCGGCTCAACGACCTCGCACAGTTAAAAAAAAAATACACAAGCTTAAGTTTATACGGGAACTGGGTCAAATGATTTCACAAGCCTTGTGTCAGCGTAAAAACTCGCACACATCCCCGAGTATATACTTGANTACGAGTGTGCAAAACAACACCGACGTAAGAATATTTTCTTAGGACCGTAAAAACATTCTCTCTCGTTAATGAAAAGAAACACAGAGTCGTGATATTATTGTGCATCTTTTCTTAAGAGCTCAGAATATGTTGCAAGTGTTGTGTTTTTATTTTGAAAACACAAAGTTCTACGATTTCACTCAGTCAGAAGAGCCCTTGAGTAATTTTTGTAAGCATTTTTTTGTTATTTGTGTTTATTCATCGAGATTGTGCACTTTTTCTCCACCTCGAGTATTTTTACTCCAAGATTTTCAGAAGAAGTACACTGAAATTTCTAAAAACAACTACACAATAATACACAAGTCCATTTTTTTTTAACTGTGCGCAATACTCCTCCGAGGTTTTCGAGTATCAGTCCCTCCATGGTGGATTCTAGACAAATCGTCTAATCTGACACCTTGCATCGTCTACATCCACGAGTTTTGCCAGAAAACTTATGACTAAAAACCATCACACACTTGAATACGTGACTCGCATGAATTACTTGGAGAGTTGACTTTCGCTTTTTCATTCCGCACTGCACTAGATAAGATGAGTCGCCTTTACTCACCCAGTTCGAGAAAATAGTCGGAGCTTTTCAGCGGTAAGTAACTGTGACAACTTACGGGAAAAACAATGAAAAACTAAGAATAAACCGAGGATTCAACTCGGGAATTTGACTTATCTCTCTTAGCGTAGCTGTTCGCGATTACAAACCTGTGAATAATTAAGAGCGAGGCGAAAGTTGTAGTTTTTACGACAGATGCAATGTTAGCGCGCACAATGGGCTCCTGAGACCTAGAATGGATTACGATTTTTAAATTAAAAATATTCTGACTCTTTACCTTCCATCCATCTTAAATAAATGAAAAGAAAATGACAAAAGTAGTACCGTCAATAGAGAAATGAATGATTAAAGAGAGGTGTCACAGATAAGGAAATTTCATGGAAATATTGTGATTTTGAGAAAAATGTATTAACGGTTGAAAAATCATACAAATACTTGAGAAAGGAATGAGCCCTAAATCTGAAGTTTGTATAAGGAAGTGAGGCGGGAAATAAGTCCAAGGGCTATTTTTTAATTTTATTTTTTTAATTTTTTTTATTTTTGTATTATTTTATTTTCTTTATTTTTATTTTTTTCTAAAAGTTATGTTCTGAGGCTGATTTTACCGGAGGTAACTGATAGCTCGTGTCTCCAAAAATTTCATTTTTTCAACATCTTCAATTGTCATATACTCTTCAAGAATTGAATTTGTTATTTTCTAGGGATAATTTCTCATGTAATAAAAAATTAACTTTGGTATTTAAACATATTATTCATAAACCCAAAGAAGATCGTAAAACTCTCTTAAAAAAGACAGATTCAATAAATTAATAAATGTATTATCAGAGAGAAAATCAATATAATTATGACTAATCGGACTGGACGAATACGGAGTGTTTAGTGTGTCACGAAATAGTTTACTTTCCTAACGCTGCGTTTAAGTCTCCAAGCCTTTCTGCGTGTTCCCCGATCATTAGAGATGTTGGACAAGAAAAGGTTTTTACCGGAACTACATCACTAACTAGACTGGACGAATGAGGAGTTGTTACGCCATGAAATGGTTTACGAATGAAGAACGACAGGGAATAAATAATCATCGACAGTTATTGAATCCTAATAAAATTTTGGGCTAATTTTAAGATAAATACAAAAGTTTAAAGATGTCCTCCATTTCTAGGATTCAATAATGAATTGCGCAGGATAACATCCCTTAATTATACTTTACTAACGGTTCAAAGCAATGCTATTTCTCACTAATTTTGGGCTAATTTTGAGATAAATACAACAATATGAAAATTTCCTTCATTTCTAAGATTCAGCATTGAATTGCGCAGGATAAAATCCCTTAACCAAGTATTTCAAACGGATCAAATCAATGCTATTTTTTTCAATTACGTGAGAGACGAACCCTTTGTGCGACGGAAACTTTACACCCCGTAACTCACACTTTCCTGTGGAATAGCGGATCGGAATATGCACAGTATGGTTGGAAAACTCGATAAATAGCGCATGCTGCTCGTGGTCCTGGTGAGAAGAAAGAAAACTAGGCGAAAATGGACGAAAAAGCTAATAAAGTAGGGAAGAATAAGTAATGTTCCTACATGGGAGAGAACGTTAGGATACGAGACCTTTAGTTATGCGCATGAAATATGCCTGGCAGCCGTGTGAGAAAATGAGAGACATTGTAGCGTCCCGGTCCCGGTATACTCCTGTAGGAACATTACTGATAGCATCGAGTTTCAACCGTGGCTTATGTCTTTGAACTCGGAATCCAGAGGAGATTGGCCCAGAGCTGGTTTGATGCTATTTTTAGCAGATTTATCAGCATGGGGTCGTCTGATAACAACACGTGACGGTATGAGCATTTTGATGTGGAGGCTATCATAATTTTTTC